CTCTCTTCCGTGAAACTAAACTAGTTTCCTGCCAGCCCTTTCTTGCTGCTCCCAGAATACGTCCTTTGTGCCTCTCCGTTCAAATGCCCGCGGTAATTACCTGCATGGAGTGTGCTTCTCCTGTGTCCTAAAACATTTTATTTCTTTTTAGCTTGTCGTCCTCGCTTGGCATTAACTTTCGAGAACAGCCAGCAGAGTGTGCTGTGAACGCTGTGAAAAGAACATCCTGCTGCTGGGAAATTTTTATATATATCTCCATATATATATATATATACACATATATATACATATGTACAGAAATGCAGATGAAGACATTTTAAGTGGTTCTRATACTTGCATGAGTGGTAGGTAGTTCCTCACGTCAATTAAAATACTGCTCTTGTCGCAGATCACAGAACCACTTCCTTAAAAATTAATAACCAAGTCATACTAAACCGTCTGCTTTCAGTGAGATTGCTTTCCAGTGTTTGTATAAAGTTGGAAAAGTGCCACAGTGGAGATGTCCAAATACGTTTCACAGTCAGAGAGAAGGATCTAGAACGCAAGGTATTTAATAGATGAAAATGCAAATTGTAACCTCAGCCTACAGGAAGAAGCTTATGCAATTATACCGTATGAGCATACGTTTCTCCTACCTCATTATTCCCTTGTTTGGACTTACTGACAGTGGAGTTCMAAACTGATTAATAAACACGTTAGAAATAAGTGAAACAAAAAAAGATTGAAGAAAAATGTTTACTAGATGTCTTGGAAATGGAAATGTTTGCTCAAAATGCAAACACACGTGTGTTTGGATTCCTYGTGCTATTCTGGTGTCAGTCTCTTCCGTGTTTCGTAGTAGCAGACATTTAGGGCGGAGTGAACTTTTTGAGTTGTGGGGTAACAAATAGTTCTGTATCCTTCATAAACCAAAACTGCCTTAAAGCAAAGCCAAATTTGAGACCCTGTGTATGGGTTTTAAGGGCAGAAGGACATTGTTATGCAACCAAACTGGAATTAGGATTAAAAGGAAATCGGAATACATAAACAAAAGCAAATTCAGAGCAAGGCATTCAAATGAAATTGGCTGTGGGCCTCAACTATCTCTGTAATACAGTTGGTGTTTTATTAAGTAAAACTGTTTTAGAAATATATATTAGAGGTTTTTTTTTTCTTTTTCTCAGGGGCAGTCTGACTGGGAAATCAAAGCATAATATTCTCCCCAGCTCTGATTCTTAACAGAATTTATCAAATACCATGCTCCTAATTTTCATGGCCATGAGAAGATAATAAAACTAGTAGTTGTATATTAGCAAAGAGTTACAAACTATCTCATATGCATTGCTCTRATCATGCGATAGTATTTGTGCTTAATATTAAACAGGTGTGGCTTAATGGGTGCACAGGAACTAATAATTGTAAAAGTGTCTGTGTTTCAGACAGTTTTTCAGGTTCTGTATGCCAAGTAATGTCAAGTATTGCTTGGCTGCTGGTAGCCATGTATTAGAAGGTATGCTGTCATTAATTGTCAAGCATAGATGTGCGTTATTGCTATGAGACCATCATCAATGAGGAGTTGAACACAAGGAGGCAGCTGAGCAGTGCTTCACAATTCRTCACTCCCATGGAGGAAATGGTAAGCGGCAAGATAAGAATGTTTGCTGACTATGCAAAACCTTTATGTTAGCAGGGGTGAGGGTCATTTGTAAAGAATTGTGGGTGATTAGGCAGTATGAAAGTAGATTAAATACAGAGTAGACAAATGTAAGGTGAAGTATGTGCAGAAACCTGGTCGTAAGTTTACATAAAAGATAGGAATACCTGAATTGGTTGCTGCCATTCACAAGTGAGACTTTGAGTATTTATGTCCTGCATGAACACTACCTTGGTGTTTGGAAAAAGCAAGGCACATTTCAAGGAAAGGGACAGAGAACAAAACAGTGAACACATTTGTGGCATTCCAGAAAGCTGTGGTGAGTTTGCACCCTGAAGTATTGTTCACGGATGCATTCTCCACTTCTTAGAAAGAAAATGCGGGAACTAGAAAAGATACTTGGCTATCTGACTTTGTGTCCCTCCAAAGGGACAATTGAKGCTTAGAGCTCTCACTGAGGAGGGAAGGATGCCTGAGGCCCGTCATACCCTAAATTACTTGTAGAGGGGGGGATGCCAACTGATTTTTTGAGTACAAACTATCAGATTTGTGGTAGCAGGAGCCGAAGTCTAAATAAACAAGAGAAGATGATTCTTTGTTCAGTGCCTTTCTGAATGGCACACTGAGTATAGGGTTTCTCTGGGGTGCAGGGAAGGTGGACCAAGTATTTGGAAGAGGACTGTGTTGAGAGTTAATGAATGAACACCCCCTCATGCTCAGGAAATTCCCAGAGTTGAAAGCAGTTGGAAGCTGTGGGAGTGTGGCAAAGAAGATAYCATATATTTGCCTTGCTTTTCCTCTTCCTTTGACGCTCGCCTGTGGCCTGTCGTGGAAACAGGATGTTGGACTGAATGGGTTCTTAATCCGAGTCAGTACACCTCTTCCTCTGTATTTGTGGAGGATCACGCTGAAACATCTGGAGCCGTGTAACAGCAGTAAGGCTGTGTGATGGGGTCTTTCAAACCAGGTTCATCTAGACCAGGAGTTACTTAGAGAGCAGCTGCTGGTCTTGTAGTTCTATTTTGCCTCATTATATACTTCTTTCTGTGTCCTCAAAATCTTAGTAGCAATATAAATACAGCTGCATTGCAGTTGCATATCTACAACCATACCATCCCCTTGTCCTGCCTCAGTAGAAAATACTCATTCCATGAGAAACAGGCGTAAAAGTCTTACATTTTTCTGAGTTCCATGTCTTTTGAAGGAGAAGCTGTGGAGAAAAATCTCTTTACTCGTCTGCACCCCCACATTCCCCTGTGTTTGATGGTTCAGGCGGTGGCATCAATTTTAACCACATTTGAATTCAGCAGCTAGAAACTGACTGGCCAATACACACAGGATGTTGGGCTGCTGCCTCTGATCATGACTAAGGCATTGGCTTTTGTCCAGTGATTTCAAATGCTTTTTGAATGGGAGAGAACAGTTCAATTGCATCCTCAGGAATGTAGGACAAAAAATACCATGCCCTTTGTGATTTTGTTTCCATTAGGTTTTAGCTTGATACACCCATTTCTTATGTTACCTTAAATAAATAGATGGAGAAATATTGCTGGCTTCTTGGTGAAAAATAAGCATATGACTTGTGAAAAACAGAGCAAACTTGTTAAAATCAGACAGTGCACCTGCTTGTATTTGTATATCTTCTTTCTGAACTCACCTATGCCGTAGCTCATGGATCAGGGACACACTGTGAATCATCCTGTTGGACAGAATGGGACATGCAGAAAAAATTAAGTTTGTCATCTCCCTATGAGATTTTCTCCTTTGCTCAGTACCTGTAGGAGAGGATTT